AACTAAGCAACTTGGGCTCCCTGTCCAACCATAAAACCCTGTGACCACAGAAAAGGATGAACTCACGACTTGCTCACTTCTGTAGTCAGCTGGTACTGTCAATCCCAAGAGCAACACAAGAAGAGGAAATATCCAGTCTCTACCACAAAATGTGGATACTGTAGCCAGACGTAGATAACCAGAGAAGGCTAGCAAGATTCTATATCAACTTTGGAGAGAAAGAATCATAGTTTGGTTGTCAATTTGTAGAATATTTAAAAAAACAAACTAATAGGAATAATATAATGAAATAGTCAAGAGTATAAAAAGAAGACAGAAATGTCAGGAATAACCTATGGTATCCCTCATTGTGTGAATGGGAGTCAAATTTGGAAATGGAGAGAGGGGTCTTGGTACACTTCATGAATCCTGTATATGACCCAGCTCCAGAAGCCTCACAGGGAACTGAGTCAGATTTGGTGATGAGCCTAATTTGGAGTATGCTGAGTTACAGATGTCTTTGAGACTTTCAAGGGACTTTTAGAAAAATACTGGAGATATTTAGATTGAGAAGTTTTGACTAGGACATAAACAGTCCACAGATTTCAAGACTGTCAAGTATCATCGGTCATGATAGAAGCAGAAGTCATGGAATGAATTGGGTCAAAAAATAAGAAATGGAGATTTCCAGTCACCGCTGAAAAAAAGGGGGTTCATTTACTTCTCTTTCATTCTTACCTGGCTTTTGTAACTTGTTTCACTAACAGAATTATGGTTTGAATGTGAGATGGACCCCAGTTTGTTTGATCACTAGAATTTCAGAAGGTAGTGGCACTGTTTGGGAAGATTGTGTGCAATCTTTAAGAGGTGGGTCTTACTTGGAGGAAGTGTGCCTCTGGAGGCAGTCCTTGAGGTTTGTAATCCAGGCCCATTTCCTGCTCATTCTCAGCTTCCTGAGATGGAATACAAGCAGCTACCTCCTTCATGTGCCACCATATCTACCTAGCCGTGATGGAGTATAAACCAAACTAAACACTTCCTTGCTTGTGTTCCTTCTTGTCCATTTTTTTTTGTTTCTGCTACAGCAATAAGAAAAGTAAGTAGTTGAGAAAATACAGCAGAAATATTGGGTTTTTTTTTTTGGTTACATCCTAAGAAGCCTTACAATGTTTGCCTGAGTCTCCTGGAACGTGTGATGCAAAGAAATTCTCCTGGGACAGGTATGTGGTCTCAGGAATTATTCCTCTTTATGTTTCAAATTTCTTATTTGTACAAGACAAAAATTTAATATTTGTTAGTCGTTTCTTCATCATTTCCTGCTTAATCTATACTGATGTGTATCAGCTGGTATATAGTTGAGATTTGTCTTATTTTCTAGTTTGCAAATGAGAACTTTAATAAGGTTTTATGGCTATAATAATTTTAGTAGTCAATTTTTATAATCTTATCACAAAGTAAATCACTAACCAAGTAAAATGTCTATAATTACAATTCTTTAAGTAAAGAAATTTGATATTCTGTACTTTATGGGCAATATGGGGACATTTGGTGCTAATATTTTCAGAAGTACTTTGTTATTCACACAGGTCTTTTCTGGGGGTTACAAATAGCTGCACATTGACATTATTCCCAAAAACATCACCTCTGTAAGACAGAGAATTAAACTACTTCTTTAATCTAGCAACCCCAATGGAGAATTGAAGGAAACACAACTCTCAGAGTAAATAATAGTAAGAAAACTATTCTAAAGAGGAATGTATGGGAAGCAAATAGCCACCAACTTCATCAAATTGCATTTCTCAAATGAACGGAAACTTAAGGCAATCAGGAGCTTGAGAATGGCAACTAGCTTCCACATAGTGGCTGCCAATCTCTACAAAGTTCTAGATTCAATTTTCATACAGAGCTCAGTAGCCCTACATCCTGGGCATGAGAAAAGGGAAGCTCTCTAGGCTCTTTCCTTGGAAACTCCTCCCTAGTAGGTTTTATTTTAAGGAACAATACTGTTTGTTACTGCTAAAAATTTATCTCAGTGTTAGTTCCCTCAGCTGAGGTGAAGTGGTCTCATATAAACTCAGAGGTAGCCCAACTAGCTGTTCACTTCCTAAGATTTACAGATGACAAAGTCCTTTATTGCACATTCGTACGCTACGTCACCCACCCTGTTGCTTCTTCGGGGTCAAGGAGACTTCTCTGGGTCTGAATCATTAGGAGGCCAATTTCCAAAGGCCATTGTGCAAGAAGAAACCAAAGACTGCAGAAAACGTGTTGTGGGTTATTGGCTAAACAGACCCCAGCCTTCCATGCAATAATGTTAGAAACAGGATTCACTGAACAACCTGGCATTGAGACTTTTGTCCCTAATTATCTTCTGAATTAAATCTACATCCCAGGGAAAATTCTAAATACTTTGAGTACTTTATAAAGTAATCCTTATATTAAAGAAATTATATATTTTAAAGTAATACTTTCTAATACATTGAACATATTAAATGCACTTGCACAGTAATGAAAACAGTTAGATTTCGTAGGCAGAGTCAGTGTTACTACTTTTGAATGAGAAATTTTATTACATTTTCTACAGCATTTTATTTTAATCTTGTTGGGAATTACAAAACTTTACCTTCCTTGTCTTTTAAAATATTTCATATTTTAATTATTAAATATTTAAATAATATTAATATTTATTTTTTGTGATTATAATAAATTCTATCATTTTTCTCCTTCCCTTTCCTTCTTCCAAACCCTTCTATATACTCTCCTTCTTGCTCTTTTTCAAATGCATAGTCTCTTTGAATACATATATATATATATATATATATATATATACCTAAATACATGACTGCAACCTTCTCAGTCCATAGTCCATATGTTACTTGTATGTATATGCTTGTGAAGATGACCATTGGTATTGGATAACTAATTGGTCTGCTCTCCCCTGGAGAGACTATTTTTTTTCTTTCTCAGCAACAAATTTAATGGAGCAGATATGATTACGTTTAAAGCCTGGCCTTATAAAACCAGCACTTGAGTAAGTCTGTTCTTCCTTATTTTGCTAAAAACAATGAACCTCCACATTCTCTGTAGAAATAGCAAGTGAGGAAAATATGCCCAATACAAGTTAATAAGTCAAATTAATATTAAATCACGTAGGGACTCTTTACCTTGCTTCTTAGAGTTTCTTCAACTAGAATCCTTATGATCCCAGGTCAGGGAAAAGAAAGACTTTTCCATACTATGGTATCATCATGCTAACTAATATAGTGGCAGTGGCCACAATCAGTTTGCAGCTCAGGCCTTCTCCCCCATTTATATTCCTTTGAGCCTCATGATTGGACACACGCACAGAAAACCAATCAGAGACATGGCAAAGCCTTCTGGAGAACAGGAGCACTTGTTAACCTGCTGTAGCGTCTACACGCATTGGTTAGAAATGCAGTCTTAAACGCTAATCAGGTTCACACTAATAGTCAAATCGGAGATTGGGTTGGGTGGCACACACTGTAATCCCAGCACAGGCAGAGAGATCACAGCAGGCTCAGAGCTAGCCTGTGAGTTTGAGACCAGCAGGCACTATACAGCAAAATCTGCCTCAAAAAATAAAATAAAACAAACATGTCAGAGGATGAAGGTATTGTCCATATTTGGCCTCTATTAACAGCTATTTCCTATGCTTCAGGGGTGGTTTCTTTTTACCCCTCTCAGAGGAATACTTATAAAAAAAAAAGTGTCCCAATGACTGCCTGAATTTGATTTTCCGTTTAATCATCCACTTTTCATCTCAATTTCTTCCAGAAGAACTTTAAGGGAGTAATAAAAGATACCTGTCCATTTCACAGACACATATGCATGCACATTTATAATGTGGTTAATGAAACTTCTAAAATACTATAAAAATGAGGAAGAACACCATGTATTTCACTTTGTTACATAGTTGTGAAGATTCCTTATGCTGGCTTTCTAATAATATGAAACAATTATTCACTGCCTTTAAATATTTTATTGGTAACGAGAGTATGTTTATCAATGTATTTTTTTTCAGGCATATAGAAAAAGTTAATAAAGCCTAGCTCATGATTGGCCAAGTACTGTAGATAGAAAAATGACACAATATTGTTCAGTTGTTTTGCTTAAACAAATGATATTATCTTAAAAAAAATTAATATCCTTTCCCATATACAACTAGACATTGTATGGAGTAGCAGCAAAGACAGGGGGCTTTACTTAGCAGACATTCTTGAAATACGTTTAAAATAAAAATATGATATTTTCATAGGTGACATAACATGATCTAAAAGAAATTTGTAAATTATATTCACATTTATCTATAAGGTCAACTGTGAGATTATCTCTAACCTGAACTTAAAGGCTTCATGTTCATGATTTGTTAAATTCCATTAAAGATGTTCTTTTTAAAAGCCAAGAAACAAAATATTTGTTTCAGTAAACAATTTTATTTATAGTGGAATTCACAAAATTTTTATATTTTGAAATTATCCACAATGTACTACTTATTGCTTACATTGAAAAGAAGTATTCTTTACAAGAAAAGATGAAAATATATACTTTTAGGCAGCATTGTTGTATTTTCATCTGATACAATATGAACAAGAGATTAGAGAGAAGAATGAAAGTTAAATATATTTTGAATTCCCTGTAATGGATTCCAAGCTATTAAAATGTTTTTGAAGACAAAAATAGAGATCTAAATACCAAAGTTATTTTGATGAGCAATATTTACATTATATATGTATAAGTTAAGAATTGCTATAAGCAACTGTCAATTAATTGTCCCCATCAGAAAAATATTTTTGGAACCATGAATCTAAAACAAAAGGAAGCTAAAAATGGAGACAAAGAGAAAAACAGGAAGAGGAAAAGTCATCATTGCAAATATGACTTTCAGTTAAATACATTTTCTTATAAAGTGGCAAGATAATATTTACAACTGAAAAGCACATGTTATCCGTAATTTGTCTTCCCTTTGAACATGTGGGGCATCATTCCTCCGGTGTGATAGTTCATAATACATGATAGATAAGTCTGGAACTGGAGGGTCCTGGGGTTGCAGGCTGTGAATTCGTGCTGGCTGCTGGAGAGAGAGAAGCTGTGTCCTGGAGAGACAACTCGGTTCTCTCCGCAGACGCGATCCGATCCACGATGCTGGACAAACAATCCAAGCTGGATAAGGAGCTTTTATCTGCAGCACATGCTAACAGTACAAGGAGAAAAAATGGTTAAAAAAAAATGATGCCCACACAGACCGGCTTGCTTACGCTGCCCTTTAAACTGTAGGTCAGCACCTTTGACAGCATAGGTCAGGTGATCACAGAGAGCCTGATGTAAAAATTTGCAGCAAATATCTAGCAATTCCTGAGGGTGGGGGTGTGGAGGGAAGACCCCCGGTAATATTTCAAGCAAAAGTGAGTGTGTTCATGTGTGCGTGCGTGCGTGTGTGTGCATGCATGTAGTGTGTGTCTGTCTGTCTGCCTGTTAGGATAATCTGGGGCAGAAAACGTATGTTTACTCTGCCAAAGTCTCCCCGTGAAAGCCTTTCATTCCTTTTCCCAGTATGGCTTGGAAGGACAGACTCTACCATGACAGACTGAATTGTGAGACTGAACAGATCTTTCAATGTCTCGGAAGTTATCTGTTCTTACCATTTGATACGTCGGGACAGTAGACACTGTCAAAGCTGCTGTTCTTTCGGGACCAGACCGGACTGCTGCATTCAGGCTGAAGCACAAAACACACAGAAATGTATTTTTAAGCCTTTGGCAAAAGACACATAGACCTAGGGTGCGATAGTACCGGCCCCTAACTCCGTCAACTGACAGCTCTTAGTTGCCTCCACAGCACTGATTTAGGAAGGGGCTGCTGTCTCCACATCGCCAGGGCACCAAGGTCAGTCTCTGTACTGGAAGAAGAGAAAAGCAGAAGGAAGACCATGGAATCTCGCAGTCATGTGCACTGGGTTAACCATGCAAAATGGATTGCAGTACAAGGAAGCCGTACTAATCCTGGGAGAGAACACTTTCCCAGGGCAAAAACACGTTAAAATCTGGCCACACTGGAGCAGATAACCCTCGGGAAAAAATGAACCAACATTTTCTTCCAGCTTGACCTCAGAGCAGGGATTGGGACCAGGAGTCTAATTCTTCACTGAGTTCTAAACTTGGGGATAGCTGTATGTCAGGGTCCACAGTGATGTATTTTGGAAATAGCAGAGAAAATAATCATTTAAATTAACCCGGGGTACATACAGTCTTTTACTACCATGTACATATATATAGACCCCGCTAGGAAATTAAAGTAAAATCTTGTACAACAGTTTTTTCTTTGCATCGTTCTGTGAACACATCTCCTAAAGCAACAGTCCCTCTGTACCTGGTTTAGAGGAGATACGAGGACTTTTCCCATAGACCAAGGTAAGAGAGAGAGCCGGTCTTGGAGTTGTGGCTTACCATTCCATCAGAGCAGTTGGAAGTGGGGCTGGTGGGCTCCGAGCAGCTCTGTCCGGGCAAGCTGTAATAGTTCTCCACCTGCTCCCTCAGCAGCTCCTGCAGGCTCTCGATGTAGCGGATGGCATTCCTGAGGATCTCCACTTTGGGGAGCCTCTGGTTGGGGTTGGTCGTGGTGCACCTCTTGAGCGTTTCGAAGGCTTGGTTGACCTTCTTCAGGCGTCTGCGCTCGCGCATGGTGGCGGCCTTGCGCCGATCCATGGTGGTGGACTTCCTCTTGCAGGCTTTGCAGGCCCACACGAGGCAGTGGCCAGCCTGGTGGTGGCCAGTAGGTGCCCGCACGTGCTCATCATCATCTGAGCCCTGCAGCTCAGCTTGGTGCGCTCCGAAGGCAGCCACTCTTGGCTCAAACTGGTCCCCAAACTCACCCTCAGGGGAAGGGATACAGGAGCTTTCGTAGAAGTACTCAGAAGGTGAGAACTGGCAGCCGTCCATCATGTCCATTCTTCAGAGAGGCAAGGTGGATACCTAGATTCAGCAGAGATGGGAGAAACCGGACGCCTTGGCTGCTGCAGGCCAGCAAATCCCAGGCGGAGCTCAGGGTTTGGGATCGTGTCTCTGTAATTAACAAGGACAGACGCCTGTTGGCCAGGGTCGGTCGGTCGGTGGCTGAGGTTGGGGCTCTTTATATATTCTTGGGGGATGGGAAGGGAGGCTGGTCCCTGTAGCTGGGCATTATTAGCATATCCCACCACAACCCCCACAGGGGTTGCCTGGGCAAACCTCTGCCTTGCTTCTAGAGACAATTTGGTGTTTACTGGGCCCTTTGACACTAATGATTTTACTGCAGCCCAACCTGCTCAGTGGCCTTCTGGATATTCTAAACCTAGGGATCATTTTGGGGTGGGGGTGGCTTCTTGAAATCGATCGCATTTTAACACAATCAGCAGCAGCAACGTAATAAGGCATTAAACTCCGGTATTTCCATCTGACACCAAAAGGGGACCTAGTGTCTGGAAGAATCGCCTCTTTACTCTTAGGGGCTGAGGGGGAGCTTGTTTCCCAGTTTCTGGAACTTTACCTGAAGAGATTTTGTCAGTTTGTACCCTGATAATAGCTTAAAAAAATTAAAGTGGCATTTTCATTTATGGAGTGAACCTAGAGTGTCCTGTTTCAAAATCTGTTTGATTAAAGGACTCAAGGGGCTCTGATGAGTTGGTTATTTCGTGGGTTTGACATTCGCTGGAGCTTCACTTCTCAAGCCTGGCTCCGTCAGAGGTCATATTTTTTTTTTTGCTGCTGCTGTAAAAAGGAAATGTCCTCAGGTGGACCAGGTGACCCTTCAGCATCCCTCCCCTCCGAGCTTTCTTCCTTCCTTCCTTACACACTGACCCTCTCCCTCTGTGCCAGGCCTAGGTTAGTACCAGCACAGAGAGATTCCCACGCCTGTGGCTGGGCTACCGCAGAAGTTCAGTTTCTCACAGTTCAACTCCCTTTCCAGCATGGAGTGGAGTTTCCTTTCTCTGGAGTTTTCTGCTCCGCCCTATCCATTCTACAGACTAAACAGCCAGCCGGGCTTCAGGGTCGCTAATTTTCTGATTTCAGGCCAGCTAACACCGTTACAGATGCATCCCAGCTGCCGGCACAGAGATCCTGGGCTAGTGTAAAATTTCCAGCTCCTGTAACAGAGTGACTTCACACACTTTGGCGACAAAAGCCTTTCAGAAATGCAATTTGCAGACAGGTCTTTTTGAAACTTTGGTGGACCGAAGACAAAAAAGGGAAGGTACCGTTAAAAAAAAAAAAAAGCTGATTCCTCAGTTTTTGCAATTTCTCCTCCACTGCTAACTCACTTTTCAGATCACTTGCAAGGGAGATGCTGTTCATATTCAAGAAACACCATTACTTAAGGTCGACACAAGTTCTTTGGGGCTTTGGACCTCGATTTGTAGCCCCATTGTAAAAAAAACGGACTGTTCACAGTTCAGAGTGTCATCCAATTAAGTAAGTGCTGTGGCTCCAAAGTCCCTCTCTCCCCCCCTCTCTCTTTCTCTCTCTCTCTCTCTCTCTCTCTCTCTCTCTCTCTCTCTCTCTCTCTCTCTCTCTCTCTCTCTCTCTCAGCCTTTCTATTCTGATGATGATGGTGATGATGATGAAGGTAATGATGGTGATTGTTGATGATGATGATGATGATGATGTTGACTCAAAGTAATTTTTCTAAAGCAATCGTGATTGACTGATCTGGTATCTATAGGCCAGAGAAACTGTAACTGTCTGTGGAGGCAAGCATTCCTAGGAAGGACCTGAAAGCCAGAGTTACAGTGTCACTCACTGTGCTTGCTAGCTCTATCTGTCTCTGTTCCCTCTGCCCTGTACTGTCACCTTGAAGACAGATTTCTTCTGAAAACCAGACCTTGTCTCACATCCAGGGACTACTTAATCATCTAGCCAATGGGAAGCCCAACTATACCTTACTGGAGCCTAGTTACAAATGTATGCCTTTGAAATGAATACAGTATTAGGACAATATGAGATTAAAAAAAAAAAAAAACCTCACACTCCTGAAAACAGGGCTCCTGCCTCATTTATGTGGATGCATATGAATGCACACAGAGCATACATGGAACCTCTGGGACTGACATTGTTTTGGAAAGGAAGATATTGTCACCCTCAAATTCACAGCAAGAGCTATAGAGAGGCTCTTGTCATCAACCACACAACCCAGAACCATGGTTTTCCTCCTCCTCCTCTTCCTCTTCCTCCCTACTTCTTCTTCCCCTCTTCTTTCCTTCCTTCCCCTTCCTCCTTCCCTCCCCTGTCTCATATTTAAGATAACTAAAACAACTTAGTGATTTGGATGCAAATTTGGTCCTTACAGTTGAAGTGGAAGACAGGGATTCTGCCCTTCCTGTCTTAGGACTGCCTCCCAGGCAGGCCTCTCCGTGTTCCATGGATGTACCTACTAGCTACTGCCTTGAATCTGCCAGGCATGACTGGTTTACTAATCTTCACCATTTCCACATACTCACTCAGGACCAGAATTTTATCGTTTTTTTGTTTGTTTGTTTGTTTGTTTGTTTTTAATCCTACTTCATTTTTTAAAGTTAAACTTTAACTCTGGGGCTGGCTAATTTTCCCTGGTCCACACAGGATTTCAAACAGTCTCCTTGTCCTCAGAAACGTCACCAAGCCCTGGGAGGTGATCCTGTTTGCTTCATACAGTCATTCTCTCTCAGTCTTCAGGGGCTTCCTCAGCTACTGCAAGCAGAAACTCATACAAACTGGAGTCTTTCTCTGGGCTCCTGTCCTGGAAAGACGCTGCCACTGAGGGGCCCCTGTCAGTAGCAGAAGTTCTCAGAGGTTACGGCTGTCTTTGGTAAGGTGATCTCCAAACAAATTTACCAGAGTGCAGCAGGCAGAGTGGAACTAAAGGAGCAGGGGAAAACACAAGCGGCTGGATGCTTAATGAGTCCTGCTGAGGGGAGACAGGGTCCGGGTTGAGGGCCCAGGGGACTCAAGTGCTGAAAATAGGATCTCAGAGCACAAGAATAAAAAATGAGTCAAAACTTTCAAGCCACAGCCACAGCTAAAAGAAAAAGAAAAAAAAGAGAGGGAGATCAAAAACCTGAGGTAGTCTGCAAAGAAAGAAGAAAGTCTACTCCTGAGAGGTGAGAAAGGCTCCCTCCCCACTCAGAAGACCTGGCTGTTCTCTTCCAGGACAGACCATGTGGGGAAGTGTGGGATTTGGGTGAATCTTATAGCAAAAGACAAAACAAATTGGAGAAATTAAAAAGGAAGTATAGGAAATGCATATTTGGTTTATATAAAGAACACACAGAGAGACACGAAGACACATGTATACACTTAAGACACTTGTATACACACATACACACACACACACACACACACACACACACACACACACACACACAACCGTTTCTCCTCACTTTTGCCTCTATCTGCAGAACTCTGCTTTTGCTTCTTGTAGATGACTTCCCAATGTGCTAAACAATTTTGAGTTGTTATCAGCTCCTTCGGGAGGGAGCTGGGCACACCTATGTAAACACATTAGTACCTGCCAGAGTTGTAAGAGGAATCTGTGGACAAGACAGCTGAGGAAGACATTGGCCTCTGCTTGAATTCGAAGGCTCCCAGGAGAGATCAAAGGACTATATAAGGACATTTAGCAGCCTTGAGAGGAGAGAGAGTAACATGTCTGCTCAGCACTACCTTTCTCCCCCCCGCCCCTGCCCGCACATGGCAGGGGCATTTCATCCCACAGAATGACTCAGAATTTAGGCTTGCAAAATAACTTTCTTTTTGCAGACAGGATCCTCTAGTACTGAGGATCATCTCTGAAAGATCTGATTAGTTTTTGGAACTGAATGGAGACTTCCGTGGAAGGGACTACCATGCTATTGCTTCTTTACTAATGATCAGACAGTGAGATATATCATGTTTAAAATCATATGTAGATTTAAAAGCATTTTTTAAACCTATATATGGGGATATGAGAGGAAAGGTCTCTCAATGAAGAAAAGGGACGTTTCCAAAGAGAGAGTATGAACAGTAAAGGAATGTCTTCATAATTTTAAAAGGGATTTTCCGCATCCTGATTTCCCCTGCCTCTCTTAATAGTTGTTAAGGGCTCCAAATTTCTATCCCCCTCACAAAAAAAAAAAAAAAAAAAACCTCATGAAAGAGTTTGGCAGAAAATTGAGATCATTTGACATAAGCAAATTTCCCCAATGTTGAGGTTTAGAATTCCACAATCCTGTAGGATGATGAAAGTTAGCTTGAGAGACTTATTGACATTTGATATCTATGAATTATTTCAATAATAGCATAACAGAAAACCCCTCATTATTTAATATTTGACATTATATGAATCTCTGGAAAGAGATTTAGGTTCAATCCCAAAGTCCTTATCTTTACCAAGTTATTATGTCTTAATTTTCTGCTCCCACAGCCTTGTTTATTTTGGCTTTGGCTTCGGTTAAAGATAATCATGATTAATATCAAACAAAAACAGTTTAATCACAAATACACCAAGGATTTCATTGGAAAGCCTAACATGTCATCTATAGTACTGAAGGTCACATGAACTCTTTGGAAAATATTTTCTCTATTTAAAGAAGAGGCTTCCAAAGGCAACCTCACTCTAAACAATTTCTCAGGTTACCCAGCTAGGAATGATAGAGAAGATTTGGTTTGCAAAGACTGAATAAAATCCATCAACAAGAAAAGACCATGGGTTGAAAAAAACATTCTGCTGCAGAATAGCTTGCAGTACAAATCTTATTAGAAGTATGTGTAATTCTAAGGTAAATGTCTTCTCTTGATCAGTTATGATATGTCAATTGCCCAAAGAATTCAGTTTTTGGAAATACTGGTATAGAAGCACATTTTAGGACAAATCCTTTGGTTGTCAGAAAAACATTCATAGACATATTATATGTATGGTTAGTAAGGCTAGAGACCACCCAGATGCAGTTACACATATT